GTTTGGCGGGTCCGGGCTGGGGATTCAAACCCGCCACCTTAGGTGTACGTGGCTGGCGCCTTAGCCGGTTGAGCTATAGGCGCCGAGCCACAGATTTAGTTTCTTACTGGACATTAGACCTTTGTTTCTTCTGTTGATTGATTGAATATATTTTGCTTTTCTACTTTTCCATTAATCAGCTTAAAGGTCATTTGCTGCATTTCCTTCCTTGAGAGATCTGCCTAGAGGTGGGGCCGTGCACCCTTGACTCACCCAAGTGTCAGGAGACATCATCCCCCCTCCAGGCCACATAGCTGCAGGATACACAGGGCCCTCAACTGTCTTCTCACTGACCTTTCACTTGTGACTCCTTGTTGTTTTCACTTGTCCAGGATACCTGGCCCTCAGCAGCCCTTAGACTGTGTTCTGCGGTTGGTGCTGGGCTTATGGGAGGACGCCTTCTGCTGGTAGCTCTTTCTTACTCCCTTGTAAGGAGGGAGGCAGGGCTGCCGTATGAGACAGGATTGCCATGTTATGTTTGAGTTTCATTTGGACAATGGATGACTTTTCAGTATAAATTATGTTTCATATTGCATATTGCATGGGATGTACTTATACTAAAAAACAGTATCATTGCTTATCTGAAATCCAAATTTTAGCTGGTTTTCTTTCTTTTCATATGCTAAGTCTGCCAGCCTAACTCTGCCTTCTAGGATCTAACTGGTAACTGCTGCCCTTAGAAGGTCCTGTAGAGCAGCTGTCTAGTGGAAGGCTCCCCTGCTTTTGTTTCTGGGAAATCAGTGGTCTGGCGCATACCCTCCTTCACTGCTATGGGTCCAGAAGGACTTGGGATCAAGAAGGGATCAGAAGTCTTTAGCTGGACCCACTGGGTCAGCCCCAGGAAGCCTGGCTGTCCCAGGCTCTGGTGTGAGGAGCACTGGGACCAGCCTGAGGTCCCCTGGTGTGGGCATCCACAGGGTGCCCTGTGGGCAGTGATCCTGTATCTGTCTCAGGACCAGGACAAGGACCTCCATCCACCATGGTGAAGCTGGGCTGCAGCTTCTCCGGGAAGCCAAGCAAAGACCCAGGGGACCAGGATGGGGCTGCTACAGACAGTGTGCCTCTGATCAGCCCCTTGGACGTCAGCCAGCTTCAGCCACCATTCTCTGACCAGGTGAGGAGGCTGGGCTAGTGGTGGTGGTGATGGGGGGGGGGGGCTTTCTTAGGTTCTCCTGGAAGCAAAGGGGGTGGGGTGAGGTAGGTTAGGCGTGGCCTTCTCCTAGGTGCAGCAGAGCAAATGGAGCAAGGCCATCGGGCAAAACCTCAGTCAGCCACGGGCACTCTGTGACCTCCTGTCCAGCTGCCTGGCCTAAAGAGCCCACTCCCCATCTGTAACAAGTATAGACCAGATGCAGGCTGATGTGGGCTCACACAGAACCTTGAAAATAGCACCACACCCAGCCAGGCCCACTAGGGCAGAGATGGGGACCAGCAAGCAACAATTCCACCCCTCTCCCCTGGGATAGAGTCCTGGTCCTTGGGCAAATAACCAAGAGAGGTGGGCTTCCGGGAGAAACTGGTGAGATGCATAGAGCTTATCTCAAGTCTAGCCCAGCTGGACCCACAAGGAGCTCTGGAGCATGAAGGGGACCCACAGCAGTGCCCATGAAAGCCAGCTATTAGCCAGGAACTGTGGTGCAGGGGAACAATGAGAGTGGATTCCATTGCATCTACTGCAGCTCTGCCCCTCAAGAGAACACAGGTGGTGTCAGGGCGTCAAGTCTCTGGGTGCTAGAAAATAAGTCAGGACAGACTTCTGGAAGAGGAGGCCAAGCTGTGGGTCCACCGAAGTGGGGGTGCCTGGTAGGGGAAGCAGCACTCTCAAAGTTGAGGCAGCTGGCAGAAAGAGGGGCTCTACCAGCAGTCTGGTCAGGCCCCAGGGCTGCCATAGCCCCAGCACAAGCACAGAATCACCTTCCCTTGGCTCTACCTCTGCTGACCACAGCTTCTCCCATCTTAGCTGAGGGCTGTCCAAGGGTCTCGCCAGCCACCTGGTGAGATCATGCCATGTTCTCTCCCAGGTGGTGATCAAGACTCAGACAGAATACCAGCTGTCCTCCCCAGACCAGCCGAAGAAGTTCCCTGACCTGGAGGGCCAGAAGGGCAGCTGCAGTCATCCTGAGGAAGGGCGCAAGGTAACATGCCCTCCACCCACAGGGGGCTAGCAGAAGGAGGATTTATCCTGTAAAATTTGGATTCAGTTAAAAGGTGGTACTCCACATGTGGCCCCAAGGCCACAGGTTCCCCACTCCTGCAGGGGGAAACTATCATTTCTGTGACAGACACCCCCGCCTCCAGCCTGCTTCCCAGAGCACATCTGAGGCTGACATTAATACACCTCCCTCCTTGGGGGCCCCTTTGCAAGCCTAGTGAGCCCTGTACAGGGCCCAGTGCCCAACATCTCTAGTGATGTTGCAGCCACCAGCTGTTCCTACAAGCACCTGCTGGGTCAAGGGCCATGTACATTTTACCAGGTGGCAGAAGTTTCCAGAATCCCAAAGGAAGGGCTGCCAATAAAGCCTGACCCCAAGAGGTGGTACCTGTATGTTCCACCCTGATGCTGAACCTTTCCAAGCAGCTACTTTGACTGCCTGGGGTTAGGAGGCCGAGGGTCTTGTGCCCAGCCCCTGCCCCACAAGGCTCCCTATTCCTCACACCTGATCCCTTGTCCTTTCCTCTGTCAGCTGCCCACAGCTCGGATGATCGCCTTTGCCATGGCGCTCCTGGGCTGTGTCCTGATCATGTACAAAGCCATCTGGTATGACCAGTTCACCTGCCCAGATGGCTTCCTGCTTAGGGTAAGTGGGAGCCTAGGGGCTAAGTCCTAGGGTGCAGCAGAGACCGCCTGTGCTCCATGGCCCACAGCTAGACCAGACTTCCAAGGGGACCCAAAGGGGTCTCTCCATAGACATTTCATAAAGTGGGCATCTCTCCATGCCCGCCTGGGGAGCATAGGGGCATTTCCTGCTCCCATGGGACCTCCAGAGTGCTCAGGTCCTGTTACTTCTCTTAGAATATGTTCAGATCTTTTTTTTTTTCTTTTTTACTTTTTGAAACAGGGTCTCACTCTGTTGCAGTATCAGCCCAGCTTACAGCAACCTCAAACTCCTGGACTCAAGTGAGTCTTCTGCCTCAGCCTTCCAAATATCTGGGACTACAGGCACCTGCCACCATGCCAGTCTAATTTTTCTACATTTAGTGGAGATGGGGCTTGGTCTTGCTCAGGCAAGAGATCCTCCCCGCTTGGCCTCCCGAGGGGTAGGGATTAGAGGTGGCCAAGATCCAACCTGAAAATTTAAAACAAAAGGCATTTTAGTGATAGGTATTGTCTTCTTGTCATTTAAAACACCAGTTGAAGGAGAGGAGGTGGAGCAGAGGGGAGGGCTCTCCTTGTGGTGACCACTGGGAGTTCAGGGTGTTGTTCCACCAGCTTTGCCAGGAGGTCATTTGTCATTTACTCAGAGACTTGTGGAAGGTTTTAAAAATATAATATGGGTGGTGCCTGTGGCTTAGTGAGTAGGGCACCGGCCCTATATACCAAGGGTGGCAGGTTCAAACCCAGCCCTGGACAAACTGCAACAACAACAACAAATAGCCAGGTGTTGTGGCGGCCAGCTGTAGTCCCAGCCTAAGCCCAAGAGCTGGAGGTTGCTGTGAGCTGTGACACCATTGTACTCTACCAAGGGCGACAAAGTGAGACTCTGTCTCTAAAAAAGGAAAA